TTTTGTTGTGTGGTTCAGTTGGTCTTCTGAGTTGAACTCAAAACCAGTGAGCAGTTGCGTCGATTAAAATGGTGCATCCACTGAATAATCCGTCATTTCCCACTGCGATACATAGATTCTATCTTGTATTTCAGCTGTCTTTGAAGGGAACAGTTTTGTGTTTGGATTATGCATCTGTTAGTGCTGGGCTTGTGCCTATGTCAGTGGCTACTCCGACTGGTTTAAGTTATTATCGAAATATATTGTAGTTCAGTGAAGGAGAAATGTCTTTGTGTTTTGTTTTCTTAGGTATATTTTAACTTTTGAACGCAAACTTTAAATTAGATTCAGAAATGCCTTTAGTATCTCACCCAATTTATCATATCTCGCTTTTACAATATATGTGGTGTTAACTAGTTTATCTCAAGACCGGAGGCATTCAGACATTTCTGAAGAGAGTGATGATAATGTGTGGCATATGAAACCAGATAAATAACACTAATCTAACTTGTTATTTCCAAAGAAACTATTAGAATCCAAGAGCAGATGATGTATTGCTCAACTAAGGTTTGGAGCTTTAAATCCATAGAGCAACTGTTGCTTAAAAATTACGGCTTTGTGTATTACGGAATTTCCACTGAAAATGGTTGACAATGTGTGTCTTGCAAATGCCAGAAGTAAATTTCTAGCAGTTTTGTTCTTGCAAATTCTTAACCTTTGCAATGAGACATAAGCCCTTAGTACGCTACGTCCTGAAACATCACAGCATTAGACTTCATAAGTGAAGTAACTTGTGTTCTATCACTGGAGGCAAATCTCATTTTGCATTTTTGAGGCTGATGTTACGCAATTATGAATTTTTAATTTAGAGCATGTTCTCTCTACATTCCAGACTTGTGAAATCAAAGGCTTTCTAACAAAATTATGTTGTTTTTCAGAATTTCTACAAGGAGATTGAGAGAGAAGAAATGTACATAAGGTTTGTAAACATGGCCAGTGACAAACTCGGCTCGACTTAGGGTAATGTAATTGGAGAAAATCAAGTTCGTCCCAGGCAGTCACTTGGAGTCTGGAGGAAAAGAAGTAATGAAAAAGATACTTTGACTGAGCCGTAACTACATTCCAAAGCTTATTTGTACTGAGAGCAGTGAGCATTAGAAATCAGTCGTGACATATTTTTTGTCAACTCTCCTTCACTTATATTATGATGAACACTGACTCAGGAGTGTTTTCACATGGAGAAAATAAATAAGTCAAAAGAAAACTGAGCAAAGAAATAATTTTGCCTCCTGGCGAGGTACAAAATATGTGACTTGGGGCAAGAAGGACTATTAAATATTATCATGGCTGATACTTATTTTAAATTTAAACCTTTTAGGAACCTTTTAAAACCTATTTTCACACAAAGTAAAAATGGTAATATGTTGTTGTGCGTTTTGTAGACCTCAGGGTTCCTAGTCCTCTGTTTGTACTTTGGCTTAAAATTGGCTAGACTGTTGCGCTACAGTGATGAAGCTTGTGTTTTTAATGCTATTTTAGGTATCTAAATATTATTCATTAATTCATTCTCAGATGCTTGTCACCTTTCTGGGTGGATTTTCACTTGCAAACTTGCTTCCTGTTGTTTAAATGGTTTTAATTAGCGTTTTATTAGTTTGCAAAAAGAAAATAAACTCCAGCAAAAGGCAGGATTGATAACTGGGGGCAAACATGTGAAGCTGAATTGCGGTTCTGCCCTGTTCAGCATCTCTCTGAAGACAAATTGCCTCTCACTGTGAACCCCTCACCCAAATTCTGCTCTCTCTCTCTCTCTGTTAACAAACTTATGAGAGTTGTAATGTGTATTGGAGTTCTGTGTTTTCACTGGCTTTTTCAAAATACAGTTTTGTGGTTTGTTGGGGTTTTTTTAGTGACAACCTTAAAAAAATGGGGTGGGTTTAGTCACAATTTAAAAAAAAACAACCAACAACAAACAAATGAAGAGAATCCCCATCTAGATATTGAATTTAAAGAAGAGACTTGTATCTATCTCCATAGCTGGGCAAATAGAACAGTATCTTTTGCACAGCCTCTGTGTTGGCTTCATGATGCATCACGAGTCGTTTATATGCGTTGGAAAAAAAACACAACGGAAATGCAAACGATCTGAAGCTTGTCTGCACGCAGAAATGCGAGCTTTAAATAACCCCACCCGTATCCAGTTGTTTGAAGACGATGTTGAACCGTTGTAGTCTTCAAGATAAATTATTTAGTAACGTTTAAGAACCAACTTTCTCCAAGAACCGTTTTTTTTTGTTACTTGCAGGTATTTGTACAAGCTGTGTGACCTGCACAAGGAATGTGATAACTATACAGAAGCTGCCTACACGCTACTTCTGCACGCCAAGCTTCTTAAGGTAAACACCGAAATGTGTTGCAAGTCCTGAAAATGCTCCTGGCGTTGCTTGTCGCTCTGAGAACGTCCACGCTGTAACCTGATTAACCACTGTGTGCTGCTTCTCACGTCAATTTTATCTCTCTATCGTTCATCTTAATTAATAGATGCAGGGAAGCAGCCCTCTGCCATTAGTGCGCGTCGCAGGGTGTTTTGCTTGTCCTGATCTGAAATGAATGGAACCGCCGTCAAGTCAAGACCGCGAGTTATAAATTGCAAAGCTGTAATTTAACTTTCTTTTAAATATCAAAGTTATGTAACGTGTGGAAGCGTCTTAACACTGAAACGCTCTCCACAGAATTGTTTTTGCAAAGGGAATACCAGAGACCGTTCTCGACTGCTCTTGGGAATCTCTAGATTTAGGATTGATTTTGAACAACTAGAGTTTAGAATGGTCTTCTTTCCAATAGGTAGATCTAATTTTAATGCAATGTTACACAGTTTATAGCAAATTTCTAGAGACATAACAATATTGCTATTCTTCAAGGAATGTTTCGGTATAACCGGCAATATATATAAATAAATGTTATCTATAGGAAGCGCCTTTAAAAAAAGCATTCTTGTCCGTGTCACCGTATAGCGTCTGTCAGAAATATGATGAAGCTGTATTTCATAAGCATTAATCTCAGTGAAAACTTCTGGGATGGAAAGTTTTCAGCATGTGCCAGCCCTGTTCCTGGCAGGTATTACCAGGTATTACCACAGAAGCTGTGCTACTGGTACCCCAGTTGACAAAAGGAATTTATCTCATTCTAAGCAGCTAATTGTTCTTAGTGATCTTTGATTTAATCGAAGCGATCCCAAACAAAAACATCTGTTTTGATCAGCTGAAAAGTGGAAGGTGTTAAATGAAACACTTCTAATGGATGCGCTGAGAATAATTCGTATCTCGAAACCGAGTAAACCGCACCCACGCTATAAGACTAAATAGGATGCAGAGCATGCATGTGCAATTTAAATTAAGGCACTTTAAAATGTATTTACTGTATTTTTAAAATAAAGAGAGATTTACTGGACAAGAAGATGTCAGTAAGACTTGTCTGTAGCACAAGAAGAAATTCTTCACAGTAGGAAGAAATTCTTCACGGAAAGAGAGGTCAGACCCGGGAACAGACTGCCTAGGGAGGGGGTTGAGTCACCATCCCTGGATGTGTTCAAGTGTCGTTTAGATGGGGTGTTGGGTGATGTGGTTTAGGGGTGAACTTGTAGTGTAGGGTCAATGGTTGGACTCGATGATCCCAAGGGTCTTGTCCAACCTGAATTGTTCTGTGATTCTATGAAAATCGCTGTAGCAACAGCTTTATTTGTTACTAACAGGAGGGGCAGTTGTTGGGCAGAGCCTGCTGGATGCAGTCACTTCTTTGGTAATGAAATTTTCTGTGCTGAGACACGTGTCAGAGACGTGAAGACGTGTGGAGATGGCTCTGACACCTCCAGTCACGCAGGCTGGTGCAGTCGGTTGCCTGTGGGTAGAAGTTCCCGTGAGTAACTTGCCGAGTCGGTGGCTATAAAGATCTCTCTTAATCCCACGAGGGATGTAGAGCGGGACTGCCAAACAGTGTTACACTTGCTCATCACGCTTTGCATGAACGAACCTTTTAGGTGAGATAAAGCACTCGTTCCTTTCCACTCAAGTGCTGTGTTTCCTGGAAAAACGGTGCCGTAAAATGTCCTTCAAACTTTTACCTATTATGGCTTGAGCTTGCTAGTCAGTATGCTTTATGTGACCTTAAATTAGAGTTTACCCAATTTTGTTTTTTTCTTGTAGAACGTCCTCAGAAAATTTGACTTACTGCAAAGAAATACCCAGATTTCTTTTCTTATAATGCAAATAGATAGAAGATAACAAATCCGAGGGTGGTATTTATTTAAGCAGGTTGTCATCACTAAGAACATATAAATACAAATACCTTGTAGTTTGGAATTACTTTACTGTACAAGCCTAATTATCATACAAAGGTTACTACCAGTAGTTAGCAGCAGATGCAGGAGTTCAATATTTCTTGAGAAGCAGCAGCATGGTGTTGTGTAACTTCAGGCAGTTGAGTTTTTCTGTCAAACCTTGAGGACAGGATTTTCAATGGCACTCATCATTGGCATATATTTCATCACATTGATTTTAATGGGATCACATTTAGGTCAAGACTGAAAGCTTTTGAGAATTTCACCTTTAAATTTGCGACGAGGCTGTCTCTGCGGAGAGGGAGGTTCCATCGTTGTCTCCAGATCACCACAAGCTGATGAAGTGCACTTGAGAAAAGAGACTTCGGTTTTATTTTTAACCCTTTTAGTCAAAGTTAAGAAAGTGTTCAAAACTAACAGAAGATAGTGGCTCTTAATACGCTGAAAAACCAAAAGGCGTGGAGTTGCAGACTCCACGACATTTGCGTTGCTCAGGAGCACAGCTTTGCAGCACCAAGTTGTCAGAATTGCCTGATTCAGCCAAATGCAAACATTTTGGCCAAATGAAGAAGTAATTGGGTGAAATTTAATAAGATATAGGAGGTAAAACTGGACGATGTAACAGTAATTCTGTGAGTGTATCTGTGAGTCGCTGATCTCTGCGTGACCTTTGCTTCTTTCCTGAAAGTTATGCACTTTTGTTTCAGTGGGCAAGAAGAGCAGGAGCTACTAATTGCAGGCAGGCTGTACAAAGTCAGTTGTGCCTTTCCATGCCTCCGAGTGTTCTCTGTGAATTTTAGCAATTTAATTTCTGTGCCTCCGGTCCTTTCCGTTTGTATTGATGCATCTCGGCTTCGGGGCTTCTCCAACCTAAAGCTGCAAGTGTTTGTTATTGCATCCCGCAGGTTGTGCCCATCAGCAGGCTGAGGTCAGTCTCATCAAACTCACCCAGGAGAGGAAGCCACCTCGAGAAGCTTCCTTCCAGCCGATATATATAATTAGCCTCCAATTACAGCGTTCAAATAAATGCTTCGTATGCCCAAGGAATCAAAGTAGCCCACTGCAAAAAAAAAAATCTTTGTTAGTGCATTAGCTGTGCTACCATTCTGTTAAATTAAAAAATGTGTATTTTATTTAGCCTAATTTTACTGATACACTTCATGACTTTCAATTTGCTTTCACTTTTCCCCTCTTTCTTGTGCGATTTAGTGGTCTGAAGAAGCGTGTGCAGCACATCTTACCCAGCGGGATGGATACCAGGCTGCTACTCAAGGACAGTTGAAAGATCAACTGTATCAAGAAATTATCCATTACTTTGACAAGGGCAAGGTAAAAAGGAAAGACAAAAGTCCAGCTATGTTTCATTGCTTTTCTCCCTAACTGATAAGTTGTATAGTAAACATAGTTTGCATCCAGTCACCTTCAAGGAGCTTTAAACTTGTTATAAGCTATTTGGAATGCTTTAAGGAAACAGTTCGCCAGCTAGCAGCTAAAGATAATGATTTTTTTAAAAAATAGTAAGAGATCAATGGTACATTTATAACTGCTGTGTTAAGGGTAAATATATGTGCGTATGATGCCATGGAGTAAACAAAAAAGTGATGCATGTAGTCTGGGGGACTTGGCTTTTCTGGCAGTTGCAATTGCTAAAGGAATCCTTCGGCTACCCTTCTTCCTTCTCGTGTGCACGAAATAATTCCCTCGGAGAATAGATGTCTGTGGTTCATATTGTAAGAAGGCAAAAATAATCTCAGCTGAGAATATTTCACTGCGTTTGCATCTTTTATTGCAAGGGGAATCAGCATTCAGTGTTGAGTGGTGGGAAAGGGAGAGTGCTGGTGTTACTATCCACGGAGATGAAGGTGTTTGTCTCGGTAGACAAGGAGATGTAGGGATGTGTCAGTGTTTGGGTGTTCCATGCACAAAATGCTTCAGTGTACAAGAAGAGATCTCTTTGTCAGGATATTTCAGACACAAAAGCTATTTTTTTCAAAGCAATATCTGTTGCATAAACGTAGCGCAAACAGAAATGTCATTGTCTGGTCGAACTAAAATATTATCCAACCAGCTCATGTTGTTCAGGTGAGTTTTTAGCAGAATCAGATTAGCAGTTTGATAGAAACGTTGCTTCAAACGTCAAAGATTATACCTTATCTTAATGCAATATTTAGAAGCTGTGAACAAACGATGCTAAAATGATTGTCATTCTAGACTGTGATAGAGCCAGGGTGCGTGGGGCTGGCAGGGCTTGTGTAGGTGCCTCCGGGCTGCTGCGTTGGTTCCCACGCTTTTGCTGCCCGGAAACCTTTTACTAACTCTTCAACAACAGGTAAGGAGAACCTCATCAGAATTAGACTCATAGCTGATTTAAAAGCATTCCTCTCTGGAAAGGAAAAGCCAGAATTCGCCTGTTTTTATTTCGTTGGTTTACATTTTTATGGCTTCGCGGTTAGTCCTTTATGGTGCTTGTGTACAGGCAGTGGGAATTGTTCTTCAGAGCACAGGCTGATGCGTTTGAGCTGTAAATTAAAAGCTGCAGCGTCCTTTTGCATCTCTATTGAAACCAGCCTGTCTTAAAGCTGTACCCGCCCGTTTCTGCTGATAGCGTTAACGAGCTGTCGATGTCAACAGCAGGCAAAATACCTGCTGGTTACTCTCCAGCCTGTGCCACGTTGCACAGCACGGCGTCCGCGCTTGAGAGACCGTTGTTAGGCTGAGTTACTGCTATTAATTTTCTTCCAGTTTTACTACAAGGAATGAGAGAAGGCTCTGCCTGCTTTCCAGAAAAATATCACTGAGAATGCTGTGATTTCACTTTCCTTCATAGACTAAACAAGGGAATCTTCATGATTCTGATAACTTTTGGTGAACGATGGTATGGACAGAACTGGTGATTACTTAATTCCTATTCCCCTGTGTAACTCAAGTCCTCAAAGTCCATGGTGTTATTTGTGTGTGTGTGCGTGGAGATGATTCATTTTCAAAGCACTCTTTCCTAGTTACAGATATCTCTTCTCTCATTTTCTGGTCACTCAAGTCGGTGATAACTTTTCATATTGTTCAATGAAAAAGAGAAAAAAATAAATCAACATATACTGAGAATATGAGCATCAAATGTCAGGAGGCTCAAAGTTGAGGTCTCCACAGTAGAATTAAGGTCATCCTCCCATGTGGGATGTTCTGACATTAGGATAAATCAACTTCTTGCATTTACCTATTGCAATTTGCAAATGTAGTCCAGCAGCTGCTTTAACTAGGTCATTCCATGATCAGTAAAACAACTGAAATTGCATTTGCTCTGCATTTTCAGAAGGCTACACTGATATTCTAGACAATTTGTCTTTTTTTCATACCATAACTGCCCTGCTGTGCCTCTGCCTGGATTAATCCCAGTACTTTGCTGCCTCTTCCAATAAAGTTAACAAGAGATGTCGAAAGAAGGTCACGTTACCCTGGACAGCTGTAGAGCTATTTCCAGACTTTTATGGAAGCTCAGGAGTTCTGTTTCAAAGTTGTCGTGAGACTGTGCCTCTTCCGCTCCAACCTGCCTGATGGGAAGCCGTGGGTTTGAGAGGGGACGTGGACGTGGTTGGAAACCTTATGTAGAAGAGATGGAGGAGAGGAATTTCCTAAAAGTTGACATCAGGTTTTAAAACGTCGGCTTTGTCCTTTTTAAAGGATGCTGTAGTTCAGGCTCTCAAAAATCACGATCCCTTTCTCTTAGCAGAGTAGTTTCCCAGGGGAGGAACACACAGTGCATTTTTCAAGTGAAGACCAACCATGAGGCTTATTCTCTAAGTATTAGGTGAGTTTAGAGGAGGCTATAATCCTCCTGGAATTGAGTGGGATGGGATGAAATGGACAGACTGGACACTGGACAGTGGACAGACTGGACACTTCTAGACCAGAATTGCCTTAGAAATTTCTAATTTAATAATACAGAGTGTGGGCTTGCACTGAAAGCAGGAGTGTGGGCATCTCATTTTGGTGAGAACAAAACACTAGCCTTCACCATGAATATCCCTGTTATTTGTAGTTTGAGAGCCATTTAAGATTCCTCATTCTGGTTTTTGGTTTTAATATATTATTTATTAGGAAACTTGCTCTTTTTTTGCTTCTGTTTGACTTTTGATCCTCAAATCAATGTTCTGTAAGGCTGAAGTACACCTTTCACCTTTAACAAATTACCGTCTTCGGGTACAACTTCTGCATTTTTCTCTTCTTCTGCTCTGTGGGTTTGATTCCTTCTTAATAATACTTTTCATTACTCTTCTGAGCTTCGTGTTCCCAAAACGAAACGTTGTCACTTCCAAGTTTCCTTGGTATACACCTAGTTTTCTCTCCTAGATTATTATTCACTGCCTCACACTTCCCTGTCTCATCTCCATCTCTCTTGGCTTTTGCCCTTAAAAGCTTTATCCTCACGCTTGTCACGGCGCTCCAACCTATCCTTTGAACTGCTCTGAAGTGTTTGCTCTTTCTGTGTTTTCCTGAAACTTTGTAATTTTCAGCAAAGCCCTTAATCCAGGGACTTTACTGGAAATTGGTGGGTTGAAGTATCTCAGGACAAGAAGGAAAAATAGTGCTGGTGATAAAGTGACGAGGAAAGGGGGGGAAGTCTTGCCCGTGTGGAGCAATTAATGTTAGTCAATGCTAATGAACTTGGCTAATGAAGCCAAGAAATACTCAGTGTCATTGACAAAGATAAGATACTAATTTTAAACAGGCTTGTGTGGTCTCTGGAGCTGGAGTGGAAGCAGCAGCTTTCTTGTCCCTGCGTGGTTAAAATGTCCAAACTGCAATATGTTTCAAGTTTGCCAGTGGAGCTGCAGCCTTTAAATCAGTCCATGTTGCCCACTTCTCCTTCATAAATTGAAAGCGTTGGACCCAGGGAGAAAAAAACTAAATAAATGCACACTGCTCATATATTTCTGTTTCTCCTTTCTTCCCCACCCCCCTGAAAAAAAGAAAAAAAAAAAAGCTTTCATTGTTTTACTGAAGCCACAAAACACAAAACATTTGAAACCACACAGTAAATGCCGTAGGTTCGTTTAAAATGTATTTTTCCCAGCTCATGGGATGGCATCGCATGGCTTTTTCTTCCATCTAACGAGACAGTGGTGAAATTTGCCCATCTGCCAAAAATCCGTGCGAGGCTGATGTCCAGATCGTCTGCCCCATCCTGAGAGCTGCGAAGGACAGAAACAGCTTTCAGAGAGGAGGGATACAGTGCTTGGCTGTGTTCCAGATGAATACAGCAAATTATTTTAAAGGGTTTCCAAGCATGGCTGTGTCTTGCACATCTTGAATGCAATGCTAGCAAAAGAGAAATGCCATGTTTTAACATCTTATTTACAATATTAAGCTTCCATGGTGGTTAATTAACACTACCTGAAATTTAAATGACTTGGAATGTCCCTCATACATCAGAATAGTGCACGATAATATTCTTATCCTAGACTATTTCATTTTTACTGATTGTTAACTCAGCAAGAGCTAAGAAATATCTTAAGTTCGCCCTTTGCTGCTCTTAAAGACTGTCAAAAATTAAATTGGATGCTGTTGTTCTTTCTGGACAGCAAGCAATCCGGCTTTAAAAACACGTCGAGTTTCTAGAAGTGAGAAAAAAAAAGAAATTCTAGGTTTTCCTTAAAAAGATCTCCTTCTGCATCCTCAAAGTCTTTCCCATAACATTTTGCAGCTCGTGCCTACACAACTATATTTAGTCTGTACACATTTTTCTTACACCCTCAGTTTATAAGAAGCATTTTCTTTCCACTATCGCCAACCTCTCTCTCTGGTGCACTCTCCAGATAAATTGTTCCTTGCATTAATGAGTTGTACATCGTACAAATCCTGTGTAGTAGCTCCCTGTACGGCTCATTCCTCCAGAAGACCTGTCCTGGGCAAACCTGGGAAACCTTCCAGCGCAGGAAATCTGCGAGGCAGCAGTTTGGGAGTTATTGACCTTCAAGAATATAGATTTCATTTATCAGGCTCCTTTGCCACAGCCGTGCTGTCCTCACCTGAATAAATTTGCTCCGTAGTAAACAGAAATTTTTTCAGAGGGTTGCACAGGGGATTTTGAACACACGGTTCCTACTTCTCTTAGGATGTTGGGAAAATTATCAGGCTCGGGTTTATTTTTTCGGTAGGTGCTGTGGTCCAGCTGATGGTAGGGTTAATGGATACGGGGACCTCCAGAGTTCAGGGTACTTGATGTTTTCACAAATTGAGTTTTATAATATGACTTTGCGTCGTTCCTTCAGCAGATTGAACAGGACAATGGTATTTCACAGTGGAAATGTTGGAGCGGAGTGGGGTTTTTA